TTAGGGTGTGTAACCAGCCCATCTCTAACATCTTGGGTTCTCCAAAGCAATCCAGGCTTCAACTTCACAGCTTCACGCAATGGCCTCTCTATTCCTCCACTCAGGGACACCCCTGAATCATACCTGGCCTCAGCGGCTTTCCTTAGGCATGGAGGCAAAGTCTTCCATCCTTAACTCTAAAGTCAGAACCTCACGGCCAAAGCTGCCAGGTTCTGCCGTTTACTGGGACGGGAACACGGCCCCCTCCTTCAATTCTATCTTCACCAGCTTTCTGTTTTCTATCTTCACTGCTTAAGATGGCTGTCCTGAAACTGGATTTCTAGAGCAGGCTAGCCTTGAACCAGAGATCTGCCAGCCTCTGCCTTTCAAGTGCTGAGATTAAAGGTGTGTACTGCCGTACTTGGCTCTAAGCTTTTCTTTAATGCACAAATTGGAAATTTAGCTGAGTGAAATCTTGTCTTGAGGTCGGTCACCACTCCCCTTATTTCTTTTCTTAATCTGTCTCCTTGAACACAGGATTTCGTTCCGTTCCACTTTTTGGTGTTTCCTTTCTCCTTAAATTTTACATTTGGTAATTCACCCTACTCATCTTGCTCCTTTTATCTTCATTAATAACCACACAACAGTTTATACTAGGCTGTTTTGAGATTTCCTCTGCCAGCAGAAAATTCAAAAACTCTTCACTTTAGCCTCAGGCAGACTCTTTGGACAATGGCAAAAGGCAGCCACATTCTTCACCAAAATATCACAAGACCAGTCTGTTGTAGAACATTAAGGTTTCTTACTTTTGTTTATACTGTAAGCATTTGTTTCATGACTTAAGGATGTGATTCTTTGTCTGTTTAAAGCATCTGATGGCCTAATAAAGACCTGAGCAGCCAATAAAGAGGCAGGAGAAAGGACAGGCAGGGCTGGCAGGCAGAGAGAATAAATAGAAGAAGAAATTCAGTGATTTAATTACTACAGTTTCTGTGTAAATATTTCAAGTCTGGGTGGTCAGGAAAACGAACAAGCAGCCTCTGCCAACAGGTAGATCTCTATGTTCAAGGCCAGCATGGTGTGCATAGCAAGTTCCAGGGCAGCTAGGACTACATAGCGAGATCCCATCGCAAAAGAAAAATTGTACTGTAGATACAAAGATAGCAGTGGTTGTGTGCACTTGTTGCTCTTGCAAAGGACCTGGCTTGATTCTTAGCATTCACACCAGGCACTTCACAACTCCCTGTAGTTCCAGTTCCAGGGAATCTGATGCCTTCTTCAAGGTACTGCACACACATGGTATACATACAGACGAGCAGAAATACACTCATACAAATGAATAAATAGAAACACAAATTTAATTGTATTGGTTGGCAGGCAAAAATAGCTCAGTGAATAGAGGCACTTTCAAACTTGAAGACCCGAGTTCAGTCTCCAGAACCCACATAGTAGGAGAGCACTGACTCTTGAAAATTGTCCATTGGCCTCCACGTATACACCCGTATTTAGCACTGTAAAGACCCTGTGATCAATCTCCAGCGTAGCAATGGTTTGTTTTTATATTTCTGAGTTGCATGAGTTCTTTAATAAAGTCAGTTATATATAGGGCAAACATTTTAACATCTCTCCAGCTGAGGATACTTGGAATAGAAATATATAAGTAGAAAACAATTTAAACAAAAATTTAAATCAGCTGTTATTGGCATAAATTGACTCCTTTTCTAAAAGCATAATGTGATGTACAATTAATAAAAGTTCAGGGTCAGAAATTGGGGTTCAACCTAAAGATCCAAAAAGCAAAACAGTCAGCCACTGGCCCTTACTTCAATCTCAGTCTGAAATGGCGATCCTGCCTCCTGGAATGTCAGAAGGAGACTGCGTCTGAGAACTGTCTCCTCCCGTTTTATAATCCTCTCTAGTGCTGGAATGAAGGGCTTGCACCACTGGGATTAAAGGCATGCACCACCCGATTTCTATAGCAATAGGGTGGCTACTAGGATTAAAGGTGTGTGTTACCATAACCTGGTCTGTAAGGCTGACCAGTGGGACTGTTTTACTCTCAGATCTTCAGGCAGTCTTTATTTATTAAAATACAGTTCAAATGCCACTACAGTAATGTACAGTAAGTACAGTTCAAATGCCTGGAAATGGCTCATCAGGTAAAGACACCTGCTGCCAAGTCTGACGACTTCATTCAGTCCCTCAGACCTACAATGGTGGACAGAGAGAAATGACTCTGACAAACTGTCCTCTCACCTCCTCAAGCATGCCTCCATACACACACGCACACACACACATACACACACAAACACACGCATGCACACACATAAACACACACACACCACAGAGCTCACAAAAGAAATAGAAATGTAATAGAAATATAAAAAACGAAATAATGAGGAATACAGTTACTGGTTTTCCAAAAAGCCTTTGTTATGATAAGATTTTCCTAAAAGTCAAAATCTCGGCCTAGGAAAATGTCACTCCAGATTTCCTGGTGGAATTTGGAACTGTGACAGGTTGGCATGTTTCTGTGCTAATTAGAGGTTAAAGCTGAGGTGTCTGACTCCACTGATGGCTTTCCATTCAGGTAGCAATTGCACTAAGGGGCCCCAACAGAAAGGAAGGCAGTATTCTAACATGGCCCCGGAACTCACCATGTGGACCAGGCTAGCATCAGATTCAGGGAGATTCACCTGCCTTTGCCTCCTGATTGCTAGGATTAAAGGTGTGCCCAACCACATCTGTGTGCCCAACCACATCTGGCTTTAAGAGAGAAATCTTTAGTGGTGCAGTTACTGACAAAGTGCCCATTCTCCTTATGCAACTGTAATGAAATTCACAAATCAGAAAGTGCATCAGCAGGTAAGGAGACACTTGCCACCAAGCCTGGCCACCTGAGTTTGAGCCCTAGGACACACATCATCAAAGGAGAAAACTGAATCCTGACCTCTACACATGCTCTCTCTCTCTCTCTCTCTCTCCCTCCCTCCCTCCCTCTCTCTCTCTCTCTCTCTCTCTCTCTCTCTCGCACACACACACACACACACACACACTGCCATTTAAAAAAATCTTTAAACAAAAAGTGTAGCACGAATAATAAAAACCCAGAGGCAGATATAGGGGTTAAAGCTGAAGATCAGGGAAGCAGAGCAGCCAGGCACTAGAGACCTTTTACCTCTACCAATGCTCAGACTGAAGGGGTGATCCTCAGACTGCCTACACTGCTCTCTGTCTCCCAAACCTCAGACTTCACACTCCAGTGAGTTCCTGTCTCTTCTCTTTTATATTCCTCTCTGCCCAGCCATATTGCTGCTGTCTCCACCTCCCTCGTGCTGGGATTAAAGGTGTGAGCCACTACCACCTGGATCTGGATCAATCTTGCATAGCCCAGGGTAGCCTTGAACTCACAGAAATCCATCAGCCTCTGTCTTCCTTAGAATAAAGGTGGGAATAAAGGTGTGCATCACCACTCCCTGGCCCCTAGTGGCTTAGCTTTGCACTCTGATCTTCAGGCAAGCTTTGTTTATTAAAATACAAATAAAATATCACTACAAAAAGGAACTCATTGGCTCACCAAAAAAGTTAAAGACATGAAAGCAGAAGATGAGAGGAAACGGGAGGGGAGACAAAGGGGGTAATAAGGGTATGCTCAAAATATGTTCATGAGCCGGGCGATGGTGGCGCACGCCTTTAATCCCAGCACTCGGGAGGCAGAGGCAGGTGGATCTCTGTGAGTTCGAGACCAGCCTGGTCTACAGAGCTAGTTCCAGGACAGGCTCCAAAGCCACAGAGAAACCCTGTCTTGAAAAAAAACCAAAAAAAAAAAAAAAAAAAAAAAAAAAAATATGTTCATGAAGCCAGTCCGTGGCAGCATACGCCATTAATCCCAGCACTCTCTGGGAGTAAAGGAGGACAGACCTCTGTGAGTTCGAGGCCTGCCTGGACTACAAAAAAGTTCCAGGACAGTCAGGGCTGTTAAACAGAGAAACTTTGTCTTGAAAAACAAAACAAAATGAAGTGCATGTATGGAAATGTCATAATTAAATTTGGTGTTATATATAATATATGCTAATAAAAACAAAAATTGTCATTAATGCTTACAATCTCATAACCAGTTACTGCTCAAATGAACAATGGTTCGTTTCTTGCCTAGCACAAAAAATAAATTAATTTTCTGTTGTATTTGTTCGACTAGCTTAGACTCTAACATTCTACAAAAAGCACCAACAAAATTAGGAGCACACAGTAAAATATTTTTGTGCATATCCTGTTTTAACAGAAGCAATAAGTGCAAACATCGCAGATATCAAACTTTGCTAATTTCCCAGTAGCACCAACCTCCTACTACCTAGATTAACATCATTCTTTCATTCACAAATGGCAGGCAAAGTGAGAACATGATTCTGTAGATACTGGAAAGGTAATAAACCAAGCAGCAAAACTACCCCCCACCCCAAGTACAAGCCAGATAAGAAGGTAAGAGAAGTCATTACAAGAACTTACTGAAGGGTAGCTAAGGGTCAATTACCCAGGTTGTTAATTTACTCTTCCTGAGCCCCCCCCCCCCGTGTGTGTGTGTGTGTGTGTGTGTGTGTGTGTCTGTCTGTCTGTCTGTCTGTCTGGTCTCCCAGTTACCCACACCGGATCCCTCCTGCCTCAGCCTCAAGAATGCTGAGATTACAATTCGTGAGTCACCACACCCCGCCAGGGACTAAGATCTTAAAATGTTTTAGGCCTCTGCCTGTAGATTTAAGAGAATGGTTCAGACGTCGTGGGGAAATGACCTCAGCGTGCAGCCTCCCTTCTCCAAAGCCCTGTTATTGTTCAGGTTGGGTTGGGCGACATCCCCTGGGGGAAGACAGGATTCCGCTCTGCCGCGACGGGAGGCTGCACCGCGGGCGGGCGGGCGGGCGGGGGAGGGCGGGAGGGGGGGCAGGCTCGCACCCGGACGGGGACGGACGCGCCCGCGAGCCCTCCGAACTCGCAGGTGCGCGCCCGCCAGCCCGCCCGCCCGCCCGCCCGCCTGCCCCGGACCGCGCGCCTCCGAGCTCGGCGCGCGCGCCCCACCGCGCAGCTCGGCTCCGCTTGACCCGCGGGCGCCAGACGCCGTGCTCCGGCGGGCGCAGCCGTGGCGGCGCGGGCCTCCCGAGCTGACACTCCCCCTGCGCGCCCCTCCCCCGCCGCGGCGCAAACCCGCCCGCCCGCCCGCCTGCCTGCCTGCCTGCCTGCGCGCGAGCCCGAGGCCGCTTCCCCCGGTACCGGCGACTGCGCGGCCCTGGGCGCGCCGGGGTCGCCTCAGGGTCCGAGCGGCAGCGGTGGCCTCCTCGGCGAGCGAAGCCTGCGACGCTGCCGAGCCCGGCTCCCCATCGGTTCACCTCCGCGAGCCGCGGCGACGACCGCACAGGCGGCGGCGGGATGAGCGGTAGCGGCGCGGCGCCGGGCCCGGGCTCGGGGTCCTCCCCGGCCGCCTGTCGCTTTGCGCACTACTTTGTGCTGTGCGGGATCGATGCGGACAGCGGACTGGAGCCTGACGAGCTGGCGGGTAAGGCCGGGCTGGCTGCGGAGGCGCAAGGGAGGCGAGGTGCGGGCTCCACAGACAAAAAGTCGGCGGCTGCCGTAGCCGCACTCGGGCTGGACGGGCACTCGTGGGCGATGTAATGACATTGTTGTTAATTCCGCGCTCTGGCTGAGCCCGCGGGCGCTGGGATCCGCGTACCCGGCGCGGGCCGCCAGAGGGCCGGACCCCTCCGCTGCTCGCGGCGCGCGCGACCGGGCTGTGCCGCGGTTCGCCAAGTTTGGCCCTGGAGGCTGAATTGTGTCGGGACCCCGGGGCAACGGCGAGGTCCGCTCGGGCGGGAGGCCCAGCGGCCGCGGCCCCGACCGGCCGCTGTCGGCCGGCGCCACCCCTCCCCCCGGTTCTGCGACGACGGCCGAGTCACCCTTTGGAATCCGGTGGATTCGGCAGCGCCGGTGCCGCGCGCTGGCGGGGACCTTTGGACGCTGGCGCGGGATGCGGCCCGGTGCTTTGTTGATTTTTCCCCCTCCCCCCCCACCCGCGCCCCGTTCCTGAGTTGACGTAGTGGGACGATCCTTCCCGAGAGGGGCGCACCGTGAGTCATCACCGAGGTGTCCCTGTAGGAGCATGGCCCCCATTTGACTTGATTCGGTGACGCAGTGCGGGACTGAGCTGGGGAACCGGCACTGGGAACCCGGGCCGTTGAATGATGATGGAGGCGGGGGGGGGGGGGGGGGATGCGCAGTGTGGGGAGCAGAACGGGAGAAATAACAGATTGCATTTTTCACTCTCCTTTCCTCCGTGGGATCTGAATCGTGATTTTTTTTTTAAAGGTGAGACACGTGACACCTACCACCTGAACTTTATCTGTGTCAGTGCTAAACACTTAGGTCATAGCCTTTCAGAACAGCGGCTTTGGAACATAGCGGCCCGCATTGATTGCACCAGTATAGATTTTTCTCTCTCCATTGAGGAGAGGATTGGGAAGAATTTACTAAATAATAAATGGTAGTAAACAAAACTGTTCAGTCTTTAAAAATACAGTCCCACGTCTTAGCTGAGAATCTTTTTATTAAGTCACCTTCAGAGAAAATGTTTTTCAGCAAAAACTAAGTGTAGTTTTATTTATTTACTGAAAAAAGGATAATAGAGTACCAGGTTTCCCCTGTGTGTGTAATTATGTAACATACTATTTCTTCAGCTAAGATTTCGTGTACATGTTATGAATGGCATTGCTAAGGGATACGAAGTTGAGGGGAAGTGTCTGCAGAGTGATTTTGGAGAAAGATTTCTCTTGCGTTAGTAAAATTCTCTTTCTCTAAACAATCCCTTCTCTAAACAACTGGGATTTCTTGGAGGCCTTCTATGCCAGGTGACTGAAAGAAAAAAGCCTGTTTGTCCTCTCTTTGTCTGCTAATGTCAAAACAACGCCTTTTAAAAAAGTGTGTCCTGGGACTCTCCAAGTGTGATGCAGATGGCGTAAAACATTTTATTTTAATGTAATTTAAATATTCTCTCTTCATCACTTTTTGTCACAGCTGAATATGGTATTGTGTGCTTGTAGTCTCAGTACTTACCAGGCTGAGGCAAGGGGATTGGTGTTGAGTTTGAGGCCAGCTGGGGCTACAGAGGGAGAGACCCCTTTTCAGAAACAACAAAGGGCAGGGGAGGTTGGAGAAACAGGACTGGAGAAAAAGCAGTACCCGAGGAAGAGACAGCTACAAACTCTGTAGAAATGACAAAGTGCGAGGCACACGCACACAAAGATTCTGTGCATTTTCGTTTATTACTGTGTGTGCATGCCCTGTGTTGTGTGTGTGTGTTGGGGGGGTCATGGCGCATGTGTCACAGCATGCATGTGTAGGACAGAGGACAACTTTATGGAACCAAATTCTTTCATTCCATGTTTATGTGGGTTCCAGCAATTGAAGTCAGGTCTCTAGGCTTGTGCGGCAAATGCTCTTGCCTTCTGAGCCATCTTGCAAACCTTTTAATGTGTTAATCCTTTAATGCGTCTTTTTTTTTAAAGATAGATAGATACACATATGTGTATGTGCACACTTATCTGTACCTGTGCAAAAGTGCAAGTGCCAGCAGAGGCCAGAAGAGCACATTAGATCACCTGGAGCTATAGTTACAGGGGGTTGTGAGGCACCTGATGTTTATTTAGTTCTGGGAGCTGAACTCAGGTTCTCGGGAAGGGCAGCAAGTGCTCTTAACTCTGAGCCATTTCTCCAGCCCCTTCTGATGTGCATTTTAAAAAAATTATATCTATTTATGTATCTTATGTGTGTATGGGTGCATGCTTGTTTTCTGTGGCGTGAGAGGAGATCAGAGGACACCTTGAGACTGGGTTCTCTCCTCCCGCTTGTGTTGGACCCAGGAATTGAACTCATGTCATCAGATTTGGCAGCTTTGCCTGTCGAACACCTCATTGGCCTCTCTTATATATTCTTTGGGATACAAATTGTGTTTTCTTTTTTGCAGTAACATGTAATTGACCTTTCTGTTCACAATATTTGGAGAGCTCCAGATAATTATGTATTTTAAAAATGTTGGTGTAGATTGTCAAGAAGCTCAGGGAACATCTGTAGAGAGAATAAAGTCCCTTCCATATTGGAGCTACATCCTAGTATGAACAAACAGTGAAGACATACCCTTTTTTTTTTCTTACCTTTTCCCCCCTTCAATACTGGAGATTGAAAATAAAGCCCCATTCACCAGGCACTGAACTACTTCCCCACCTCTCTAAAACATTTTTTACATTGTTACCCACACTGGCCTGAAACCTGCATTGTGTCCCAGAAAGGCCTTGAACTTGGGATCCTCCTGCCTCGGCCTCCCCAGTAGCTGCGATTGTAGGCTTTCCACAACAGGTCCAATTTCTATGTCCAAATTAATAAAGAAATACGAGAAAAAATGGAACAGGAAAATGGGATCAGAATTGCGGTTATTTTATGTTGTTGGTGGGAGTTATGCCCTGGAAATGCGCGGGCATGTGCTCTATCTCTGGGATAGCTCAGCCTTTGGCTTTAAATAAAACAGTTGGAGAAGACGTCCCAGAGAAAGTGGCAGAAGCACAGCCGTGAAGGAGGCGGAAAAGCAAGCAGTGTGGACTCTAGGGCAGTGGTTCTCAACCTGTGAATCGCAACCCCCAGGTGTCAAAGGACCCTTTCACAGGGGTCACCTAAGACCATCTGCATATCAGATACATTATGATTCATAATAGTAGCAAAATTAGTTATGGAGTAGCAATGAAAATAATTTTGTGGTTGACGGTCACCACAACATGAGGAACTGTATTAAGGGGTTGCAGCATTAGGGAAGTTGAGAACGCCTGGTCTAGGGAAAGAGCATTATAGGCAGAACAAACAGCAAGATACCCTGAAGTGGAACACTGACTGGTTTATGTGGGTAACTATAGCAGGATTTTTCCTTTGAGCTGCCAGCCAGCTCCCAAATCGTGACGTTGAGACTTACTAGTTATGAATGCTCGGTTTAGCTTAGGCTAGTTTCTGGCTAGCTCTTTTAACTTAAATTAACCTGTTTCTCTTAATCTACCTTTTGCCTCAGGGCATTTTACCTTTCTTTTTGTACGACTTTCCTGCTTCCTTCAGTGTCCATCTGGCTGGCAGATGCCTGGTTTCTGACCTTGGGCTTTCCCTCTTTTTCTCTCTCCTCTCCTCTCTCTGTTCTTACATTCTCCTTTTACTTATTCTAATTCTCTCTGCCTGTCAGCTCGCTTTTCCCTCTCCTGCCTAGCTATTGCCCACCTGTTCAGCCTTTTTTTTTTTATTAGACCAGTCAAGTGCCTTAGGCAGACAAGGTGAAATAGCAACACATTTTTTCGCGATTAAATAAATGCATAAACAAGTGTAACACACCTTTACATAGTTAATATTCCACGTTATAAACAAGTGTATCACACCTTTACATAGCTAAAGTAATATTCCACAGCATAAACAAGTGTAACACACCTTTACATAGCTAATAATATTCCACAGCATAAACAAATGTAACACACCTTTACATAGTTAAAGTAATATTCCACAGCATAAACAAGTGTAACACACCTTTACATAGTTAAAGTAATATTCCACATTATAAACAAGTGTAACACACCTTTACATAGCTAAAGTAATATTTCACAGCATAAACAAGTGTAACACACCTTTACATAGCTAAAGTAATACTCTACAACAGGTAATAGCTAGGATGCCAATGTGAATAGAGTGGGCAGGATCACAGAGACAGGTTAAAAGAAATATGGCAGGGCTTCAAAGACATTGCTTTTTGCTTTGAGTTGGGAAGATGCTGAAAGATTTTTAACAGAATGGTTGTATCATCTGACATACCTTCTGAGAGGATCACTGTCTGCCAGTGAGACAGCTCAGCAAATGTATTTGACACAAGGCGGACAATCAGAGTTCTGTCCCTGAGACTCCCCTAGTAGGAGAGGACAGACTCCCCCAAGTCGCCCTCTGATTGCCACAGGTGTATGCCTGCCCAAGAGCACATGCATCACACACATAAATAAATACATGTAATAGACTTAAAATTGTTTGAAATAAAGTTATCATTTTATATGCATCCCTGTTTTGCCTGCATGTGTGCCTGGTACCCAAGGAAACCTAAGATGGCCTTGGATCCCCTGGAACTGAGCTTATAGATGGTTATGAGCTGCCATGTGGGTGCTGGGAGTTGAATCTGGGACCTTTGGAAGAGAGCCATGCTTTTAACCACTAAAGGCATCTCTTCAGCCCCAGTAAACAAAATTTTCTAAAAATAAAAAGATCTCTGTGGCTGCCAGGTTACAGATGTGAGGGAAACAGTGGAAGCAAGAAGCTCATTGTACTGTTTATTTGATGTGAAAGTCCTCTGGAGAATTGGTGGTAATGAGTCGGATAGTGTGTGTGTGTGTGTGTGTGTGTGTGTGTGTGTGTGGTGTGCACACATGAGCGTGCATGCGTGTGTGTATATGTACTTGTGTACCATCAGGAGTTATTAACGAATTGGATGATTGTGTC